CTTGAGGTGCTAATTGGGAATTGGTTGTAGAAAGACATACGAGAATATTTTAGCGAGAGAGGTGATCAGACGATTTATGGTGGGTACGCGGACGAAGAAGAACACAGCTAGCCACCGCAGTTTTATACCGTCAATATGAGCAGGTGAGATGGATATCGGAAGAAGGCGACTCCGAATGTAATATCGAGTTATAGACAGACAACTGCTCTACGAGGTTATTCAGAGGCAAAGTAAATCATATGATTAAAATTTCCTTGAAAATGTACCTAATGTTTAATTCATTTAAGATGCCTTGGATAGGTAGATACATGTGTCTTAGCATTGTGCATTATTGCACACGTCACGGAGGATTATTTATAGTTTGAGCAGGTATAAAAGAGCCCTGTCTTACAAGCTTCAATATGTACATACTTCATCAGGGGAAATAAAGTTTAGGTGGGGAATACCTGAAATTAGCGGAATTTCCCCGTACAGCACGGGCGTTGCTTCGTGCTTGCTTCGTGCTTGCAGCTGGCCGCTAAAGAAAAAGGGGTACCCACCTGCCTATGCGGGATTCAAATTGCCGATCTGGAAAAGGATCTAGCGCTAGAATCTATCCGTTAATTTGACTTGATTACTTCACCAGATTTTATTCCCCTGGAGTACTACCGCAAAATGCCGATTACAACTCGTATTATGCGATAGGTATGCATCTTGTTTCGAAGAAGAGCCTCATTTTTTCAAGGTTCTTCCGCTCCTCGCCGCTATATTGCAGATCCTATTATATCTGCTATATTTTAGCGACCCAGCGATCTGGATTGCGTTGCTGATCTCGGCCTGAATAGAATGGGCTAGGCCTTGTCAATTAGACCCCATCTGTTTAAGACCCTACAAGCCGGCGTGTACTGGGTTAGGTACCTGTCTAGGCCACCTAAAGATAGCGGACCAGGCTTACAGACTATCAGGCTTCGTACGCTTCCTGAAAGTTCAAGGGTTATTGTATAAAGTATGAAGCCGTCAAAGCCATTAGGCACCACTATTGGATACAACAACGTGACATGGCCGATTTTCACCTGCTGGGCATGTTAGACAGACTGTCGGGAGTTTAGTAGGATACCTCGGTCGACGAATTAGCTGGCGACTGTTTTTGGACGTCAACTGTTTCTGGATGTCTTGCTCCAGTCTTGCTCCAGTCTTGCTCCAGGAGGGTCGGTGTTCGGTCCGATGACCTTGACACCGCCAAGGATAACCTACCTACATATATGTACTATGTGGAGTCAAGGACAGAAGTGTCCTACGACTCGTGGATTCCATGCGGGCCTTTGGTGGGTTATCAGAAATTCTACATTCGATATTTACCTTCAAAAGATTATCTTGATGCGCGACACTTCTGGCGCTCGGTGACTACGGCCGCTATGGTTACTATGTCGCGTTCCAAATGCGACCGCCGAAGCGCACTCGCGGGATACCCGTCCCTCAGTTCCAAACCACACAACCCTATCACATAAGGTTCCCTCGTGCTATCACCTAACATTAGCATTTCATATCTCTTAACATGACGACGTCGTGGATATCGGAAGCACCTCAGGAAACTAATATTATCCCCTTAGACCCGGTAACGTTGCAAAATAATCGATTCTACATCAATGCAACCAAAGCTATGGAGGTATGGCGGGTGCGGGGTGTGCCGAGCCAAGCTGGTCAGCATAAGGTCTCATCGTGAACCTGACCTTCTCGAGACAAGGATAACAGGTTCTTGGACGCGCTGTAGTGGAAAAGAGCAAGCCCGATTTGGAAACATCTTATCTCCCTACACACGAGAGCACATTAAGCACATTGTAGAGTGGGTGTGGCTTCTGCTTCGGAAACTAATAGCCAAATAACCCAAACTCGACATTCGGTGGGGTTCAGGCGGATGGATGGATTATCTCCTCCGTCTTATTTAAAACATGCTTCTCTGCATGCCTCTGCATGTCTAACAAACTCTGCCACATTTCCCTTACGTCCGTTAGCATGTATTTCCTTCAAAATCATTTGATCCTCTACTCTAAACCAGCTTCCCAACACCTTGCACACCTCCGATATGATTGTTGTCGCAAGATCTAATTTGGTCAAGTGATAGTGGGGTATGAGCTACGACTTGATGGGCGCATACAACCCTGTGATAAGCTATCAACCCTTGTGCTAATCTCGTCCAAAGAACTCTTGATGGTACTCTGATCTTGACTTTCCCAGCCTCCGATTGGCTACAGCCAACAGCTTCCCCTGAGCAAAAACTACCTTCATTACCGCGACTGTCAAGGTCCTACTATGCAAGACGCATTCCAACGTCCACCTTCCGCGTACGGAATAGGGAGGGCGAGCACGAGGGCTGCCGGGTTCTAGCACGTCTCTCCAGTTTTACGAAGCTCTCATCAGCTTTACCAGCACGCTCATGACCGGGAACCAACCTTGAAAGGAGGCTACAACCGGGGATATGACGGGATGCACCGGTTTGGAGGCGTGTCTGGCTCGGTGAACAGTGGCAACGTTGCCGCCCTGCTTCGCACTCTGCTTCGCAGGTCGCCATTAACCACATGTCAAGCTCCAAGGTTTGGTGGTGGTGTCTTTACTCCGAGCTCGAGAAACCATTGCCTGGGTATAGTAGGTATGGTTTCTTTGCCTGTAGTCACATCTTTGTACCACGTGAGAGACGCAGCCATGATAGTAGTGTGCCAAAATTGTCTCTTACCTGGCCGGAGTTGTCTCTCCCCTGGGTTCGTCGATAATATAAATACATTGACATGTCCATTTTTTGTCCACCTTTTTGACAACCAAGCCAGATATCGATCAAGAGCAAAGCTTCTTCACTCTCTCGACTATTCTAGTCACTTCATTCCTTAATACCTATTTCAGTCCTTACTCTGAAGCTATCTCTCATCATGTTCTCCGTCAAAGGCCTCTTTACGACTCTCCTTCTTCGAGCATCCCTTGGACTAGGTAGTCCAACCCCTGCTGTCGAGAAGCGGGCTTCTGGCTTTCTGAACAAGGTTTATTTCACTAACTGGTTAGTCTATCAACTTCTTTATTAATAGTGTCATCTAACATAGCTACTTCAGGGGTATCTATGGCCGAAACTACCAGCCAGCGCAACTTCCAGCTTCGCAGATCAACCATGTCCTCTACTCATTCGCCAATCTGAGGTCTGATGGAACTGTGTATGCGTCGGACACTTGGTCCGACTTGGAGAAGCACTACGACGGTGACTGTAAGTTAATGAGACACGTAGTTCGCCACTGAAGACACTTGTTAACATGACCGTCCAGCATGGAACGACCAGGGAACTAACGCCTACGGCTGCGTCAAGCAGCTCTACATTCTTAAGAAGGCCAACCGACACCTCAAGGTGCTTCTTAGTATTGGTGGTTGGACATATTCTACCAACTTCGCAAGTGCCGCTAGCACGGACGCAACTAGAAAGACCTTCGCCCAGACGGCAGTAGCTCTAGTGAAGGACTGGGGATTTGATGGCATCGATATCGATTGGGAGTACCCCGCTAATGATACTGAAGCCAGCAATTTTGTTGCACTTCTACAAGCAGTCCGATCTGAGCTTGACTCGTACTCATCTCAGTACGCCAATGGATATCATTTTCTCCTTACTGCGGCGGTTCCCGCAGGTCCCGCAAACTACCAGAAGCTGCACCTTGCGGATATGGCGCCGTTGCTTGATCAATTCAATCTCATGGCTTACGACTACGCCGGCTCTTGGGACTCTACTTCTGGTCATCAGGCAAACTTGTACCCTAACCCTCAGAACCCTGTATCCACGCCCTTTTCGACGGATGCCGCTATTACTGCCTATATCAACGGCGGTGTCCCGAGTAACAAGTTGGTCCTTGGTCTACCACTGTATGGTCGCGCGGTATGTAATTCAAGCCGTTCCCTTTTTCCTTGTTTCCCCATCTCAATAACTAGTATCGTTTCCTTCTCATCGTACCTTCGAAGAACTTATTGATGCCGAGACGCGTCCAAAAATATCAAACAGTCTCTTCAAAATCAATCAATCACTGACTGGCTGTCAAATAGTTCGACGCTACGGATGGTATCGGACAACCCTACACGGGCATCGGTCAAGGTTCATGGGAAGCTGGAGTCTATGATTACAAGGTCCTACCTCGAGCTGGCGCACAAGAAGTGTACGATGCCGTAGCTGGCGCCACGTATAGCTACGACAGCTCGGCCAAAGAGCTGATTAGCTACGATAATGTCGACATGATCAATAAGAAGATCGCGTACGCTCAAAGCAAGAATCTAGGTGGCTCGATGTTTTGGGAAGCCTCGGGCGACCGAACAGATAGCGGCAGTTTGATCGCGGCCGCGTACAATGCCCAGGGAGGATCGAGCTTTCTTGATGCGACACAGAACCTCCTCAGCTACCCTAACAGCCAGTACGACAACATCAAAAATAACCTAAACTAGGTTCATACCTTGTTCAGACACTCCTTGCTCTGACCTTTGCGGCGGTCATTAGGTTCGGGGGCTGGCGCCCCGTCTTAGAAGACTGTTATCATCCTTTACTGCTCAGATTTAACGCCAAATAGTCATTCGCTTTATTTCCGAAACCGATTTACAGAACTTTAAATACTTACGATCATTTACGGATAGATGTGGTTGCCTATATGTTTCGCCAGGCTCATAGCCTAGCACCTATATTTTACTTCACTGTATATAGTTACAGACACTCTTATTGTATATAAGCGTTTCGACTTAAATTTGAATATATAAGCCCCTACTTAAAACATACACAATCCTTCCTAACTCCCTAGCTTGGTTTTTGAGCATTGGTTAAATGTAGCTAAGATCATATCCAAGAGTAATCCCTCACAAGTAAACGCCGCCACCATAATAAGGAATGTAGATAAAACAGGGGACAGTGATACACGGATGGCTCCGAAACGCCGTTGAGCTATGTTAATATATGTAAAGACGGGGAAAAAACTCCCTCGCAGTAAGTCAATAAGTGTAATTCGATAATCACATCATTCGGCAAGTTCCAGAGAATCGGTGCTTCTTTTCTTTCGGCTGGTCAGCTGCTGGAGTTTCGTTACTGTTCTTGACGGGAGGAGAAATAGCGGGTAATACCTCGGAGACGGTGGTCAATTCCGCATTCTCGACCTCTCTTAGCGACGTAGATGGGGAGGCGCCCCCGCTGTTTGGGGAACGGTTTGACTTGTGTGTGCACTGAGTGCAGGTCCCTGCAAGGGTCTGCCCGCTACAGTTGCTACAAGTCATTGAGATATCGTCACTGCTTCCGGCCTCGGGGACCGGAGATACATTCGGGCTTCGGACTGGCGCGCTCACTGGCATCGCCTGGCCGTGCTGGCTTAAATGAGAGACATGCAGCTGGTTTATCGCCAAACGCTCTACGTCTAGACTAGAGGGGCGTGTTGTGGTCGGGGTGTTAGCAGCAGATGGATAGCGCGAGCCGGCTCGGCTACCGGGCAGGCTCTCAGGGGGTAGGAAGTGGACTATGCGATCAACGCTGAGGAGATCCGCGTTTGGGGTTTCGCCGTTGATACAGGTGGTGATGCTATTGGGATTTCCGGGATTTGAGTTAGGGGCATCGACATTGATTTCTGGCCCAATTTCCGCTTCGGCTTCGGCTTCAGCTTCAGCTAATGTCTGCGCAAACTTTGACCACCGGCGCAGCCAGTGTCCATAGATGTAGACGACAATCATGAATAGGAACAAGCCAGTTCCTATCGAGGCCAGTACGATAGTTCCGGTGAATATGGTCATTTTCTCGTACCTATTTTATTCATCGAGAGTGTGTTCAGCCGCGAGTATTATCTGGGGAAATAAGGGGCTGGGAGTAGAGGAGGAAGGAAAGGGATGAAGCTAGAGAAACATACTGAAAGATATTAGCATTTGGAATAATCGTATCATGGAAGGCAATATAATACTAACCATAGGAACAGCGTAAGGTGTAAGTACACCAGCAAGAAAATCTCTTGCCCATCCGTTGCCACCCGTGGCAGATGCAGCGTAAGGGCCGTAGGCTCTAAGCACATAATCGATAGTACCCATGTAAATAGCGAAGTTAGCGATGCCTATCATACAGGAGGCGATCATGCTGAATATCCAGTGAAGAGGATGTTCAGTATAAGCGGCCGTAAAAGCAAAAAGGAGAAGGCCAATAGGCAACAGGGGCGCCGCAAAAAGCAGCCAAAACAGTCGAGCTTCGTACTGCGCTCGCTCGCAGAGTGGTTTTCTCTCGCGTAGGGCTATCTGTCGTCCGATGAAGTAGTAGGCCATGGCATATCCGATCATGTATCCAATTCCAATGGGCAAGAATGTACAGCCGAGCAATATGGGACCGAATCCCCATTGCCAATATACGAATCCGAAAGATTGAACCATCACTAAGGGGGAAGAGAGAGTTAGTCCTAATCATTATCTAAATAAATATACACAGAAGCCAACCCGACACAAGTAAATATAGATAGACATATACACATATGATAATCTATCCGGAACACAAACACTTATTTGCGCAAACGCTACCTACCTAGGTAGGTAAATACATAAACGAAGTCAATCGTTAACACACTATATATGAACTTACTAAAGATAATAGCGTCCGAGAATCCCGACAGAAGCGAGAAGACTAAGACGATAGGCTCCGTGAAGAACATCTTGAAAGGCCGCAACCAAATCTTCCAAACCTCAGACCAGTTGATGCGTCGGTCCCCAGAAATCTCGTTCGGACCGTATACGGCGGGGTTCATTCCGGACTCACGCATCTCCTTAGCGGCCTCATCCATAATAATAGTCGTTCGCGTCTCGGGGACGAGGAAGTAGTGAAGGAGCTGCACCATCACGCCGAAGATTATCTGGATCCAGATGACCCAGCGCCAGGCCAGGTACGCCTCGACAACGCCGCCGATGATAGGGCCGAGGATGGAGCCGCCGACGGACGAGAACACGATAAACGCGGTCGCGTGCTGGTGCTCCGCGCTGTGCGGGTCGAACATATCTGTGATGAGAGCAAGGGTTACGCTTCCCCCGGCGCTGGACAGACCGCCTAGGGTCCGCCCGACGACGTGTCCATACCAGGTCGGGGAGAAACCCACCAGGATCGCCCACATGTTGACGAAGAACAGCGACGCCTGCAGGACGCGGCGGCGGCCGTACTCCTCGGACCACGGGGCCCACAGCTCGCAGCCGAAAGCGTAGGCGATGAGGAAGGAGGCGGCGCCGCCCCAGCGGACCTGGAAGTAGGTGAGGCCGTACTCCCTGGCGATGCCCTGGATGCCGTTGGAGTAGAGGGTCGTGTTCAGGTTCATGGAGACCTGGACGAGGAAGATGACGCAGAGGATGTACCACTTCTCCTTCTTGGGCCAGCGGACGGGCAGCTTGGTGCCGCAGTCCGAGGGCTTGATGAGCACGCGGGAGAATTCGCTGTGCGAGTTGCGGCGCGCTTGGCTGCGGGCGCGGCGCCAGCGGAGCGTACGCATGATGCGGTTGTGGCCTCGCGAGATGTGCTCGTCGTTGCGGACATGGTTGGTTTGAGGTCTGGGGTTGCTGTCTGGGGCCGGGTTAGCACGGTCTTGCTGCGGTATCATCTCCTGGAGCCGGGCTGCGAGGTCATGGAGAGGGATTGGTGAGGATCCGGGAGGTCGTGTAGACGACATTGCTAAAGATGCCGTTGCGTGTTGAAGTGAGCAGCGAGTTGGTCTATGAGTGAGTTTGGACCGTCGGATGGCAGCATTTCATAGCAGTTTATTTCTTTTCCTAAATTTCTTGCTATCGTAAAAATTCCCCCTTTTTTTGCCTCGAAATAATAACTTCGCAAAAAGAGAGGAAATTTTACGGAATACGAGAATCGAAGTTGGGGCGGTCCGGTGAGCTTTTATAAAGGCCGGCTATTAACCTCTCAACCCTTTCCAAGCCCTAGGTTAGTAACCTGAGGAGTTTATTCAAGAGCACGCCTATGGCTTGTATCGAGGGGTATTAAGTTCGCTTGTGTCTTGAGTTAGCTTAGCTTACGGCGTGTGCGCCAGTTGGTTGTGCCTGAGAAGCGTATAGACCGGACAAGTCTCGAGCCGGAAGTGAGGCACTTCGGGTACTTGTCCACACCAAGCTTGCTATAGTTTGGGCAATACGAGAGGTCTAATGTGAGGGCCTCAAACAACCATTAGGAGGGTAGTGGCGCTTAGCGCTCACGAAATCAAAGCTTATAAACTATATGACACCCCATTTTTGGGCTCTAGAGCATCTGATGCAGTTACGATGCTCAGGGGTATGCTAGGGCCTTTGAAAAATCGTGGTAGTTCTCAGTCACTATGAACTCTATTCGGTAGCATTGAAACGCTTGGATTTAGTTTTAGTACTTTTGGTAGTTTACGAGAGAACGGGGATAACTGCTGGTAGAATTCATATGCTGCCACTCTACTTTACTTTTTTTATCGTCATGTTTTATTAGTGAAAATACCCGTTTCAAAACTTCCAATGCAGCGAAATCATTCCTCATAAGTGGTTCGACAACCTAGTTCACGATGGATCTGCAAAATGTTGACAATCAACTAGCTAGGTTGACGATACTTCCACATCGGGTCTCAACCGAGTCAGATTCGAGCGGAGTAGAAACTTTCTTTTTCCATGTTACATCGAGAGTCGTTCGATAGAATTACGGCATGGATATAAAGTTTATTCCAAGAGTAAAGCACCAAGGGTCCAAGCTTGGTTGTTACATCGATGATCGAATTCCTAACCTCCACCTGTCCCCTCTGGGGTGTACGATTTTTATAAAAGGAACTTCTTACATCTACCGAGGGTTTCATGCAGTTGCAAGAGACCTCGCTTCTAAACCGGGACTTCTATATCGGATATCATTTATAAGATCAACCCAGGAACGGAGATTTTGAACACTCGTCGTATAAGCTTGTCAAGCATTCCAGCTCCAGGTAAATAAACGATTCACCACCGCCATCAGGTTCCACATTGCGCTGTGGTAACACTGAATTCTTTAAATGGCGGTCAAGTAGTAGACGTTCATTCTATGGTTTGTTACGTGATATCTATCTGTTATATACTTTAGGTACCTAGGTACATATCAACCTCAACCGGCGAGGCCAAGACGATCTACGCTATGATCATTCCGTATCTCTAAACTCTAACGGAACAGCTTCGGTTAATCATGGATTTGGTAAGTATTGTTCACGATGTTTGAGGATTGTTAATAATGTAACTATAAAACAATACTTAATCAAGCTGTTGTTGAGACTAGAATGATCACTCAGAGAAAATAGCTCTAGCTGAATGAGAGCCTGCATCGCTAATTAGAGATTAGAAAGTTTGACAACCGTACCCCTTGTCGGGAACCTATAAATATTTATAGCCATGTTTAAATGGTATTCTCGACTATAATGCTTCAATATCAAGGCCGTTGACCTTCCCTAAGAACTCCCCCTTAGCACCACGTAGCAGCTCATCCATATCCACCATACCGGTCGCGATATACTTCTCGCTCACGCCAGCATTTACTCGCTTGGAGAGGAGTTCTCTTAGTTCAGCGCGCAAAGCCCCTAGCTCGGCCTTTGTCATAGCCCTCGCTTGGTCCTGCTTCTCCTTCCGACCCCCTCCTCGTCCTCCCCACTTGCCGACCTGTCGTATTTCATCGCTGTCATATTCCACCCCTAGTTCGTCTGCCGCGTTCCGCATCCAGTCATCCTCCTTGCTCCCTTTCTCCTTCGCAAGTCCCGCGTCGGCAATCTTTTTTGCTAGAGTGATGCGCGATTTCAACCGATTAACTAGCTTTCGATCCATGTCTAACGTCTGCACGAAGAAGTTCTTCCTGGACCCCTTATCAGAGCTCGAATGTACCTTTGCGATCAGCCGTCGGGTCGGAACAACTTCTTCAGGCGAGCAGAGAAGTATACTCAAACCTGTTTTATTTGCACGTGCGGTACGTCCAGATCTATGTACGTATACGTCGGCAGCTCGAGGGACGTGGTAATGGACTATCAAGTCGACATTGGGAATATCTAAACCGCGGGCAGCGACATCTGTTGCAACGAGGATAGATGATTGTCCTTGATTCGCGCCGGTGAACCGTTCAACTGAACGTAGACGCGCCTTTTGAGGCATTTGAGAGTGGAGCGGGTTGGTCTGGAGATTTAGATTTTGAAGCATAGGGGCTAATCTTCTGACTGAACTGATAGAATTAGTAAACACAAGCGTCCGCACGTTTGGATATAACATCAGAAGTGCATATAGGTAGAGATCCTTTAAACAGTTAGTAGAGATTCCATTTCTTAATCCCACGAAACTCACCTTCTCCATAGCGCCGCATTCCACCAACCCTTCTTTAAGCCCTTCAGCCATTTGAGATACCGGATTAACGTCGATAAACTTGGGCTTCTCTTCCCGGAAGTTCAGCTTTTTCAGTAAATACTCCATGGAGTCCTTCTCACTCATTAAATTGGATCGTCCTCTACCAGCCAGCTTTTGTTGTAGACCTTTGTGAAATGTTGCTGAGAATACAAGAGTTTGTCTCGGCGAAAATGTAGCTTCTTCCTCTTCATTTTCATCCTCTTCAACTCGGTCTAGAGCATTGAAAATTTCAGCAGCTTCTTGGAAATGACCTTCTGTTAAAAGTCTATCTGCTTCGTCTACCACGAGGTACTGTATCTTTCTGAAGTTACTCGTCAGTTCCGAGCTAGAGCTCAGAACCTCCCACAGTCGACCGGGAGTTCCAATGACGATATCTGCCTTAGCCAGCTGGCGCTGTTGCTTATAAACTGATAAACCACCGGTTACCGAGCATACGTAGGGTGAATTCGGCAAGCCGGCACAAAGGTTCTTGATGTGTTCTGTGAGTTGATGCGCAAGTTCTCTTGTCGGTGAAAGGACCAAAGCAAGCGGGATCTTAGAGGCATCCTGAGAAACATCGTCGCTGTCCGATAATTCCAGCCACTTCTCAACAATTGGAATACCAAATGCTAGTGTTTTTCCTGAACCTGTCGAGGCTTTACCTATAACATCGTGACCAGCTAATATTTGAGGTATCGTAGCTGCTTGTATACGAGTAGGTTTCATGAATTTCAACTTGGCTAGAGACTCGAGAATACTAGGCGATAAATCCAGTGAGACCCATGCAGAAAGATCGACCTCATCTTGCGCTTCATCCACAGAGTCCATTCCAGCGAAGACGTTAGTCTCGAGCTCCGGATCCTCGATCTGTTTTAAATCCTTTTTTTTCTGTTTCTTTTGCGCCTTTGCGCCTTCTTTCGGAGTAGTCTTAGTCTCTGATTTCGTATTCTCGTCGACGTTCGTTGGGCTAGGCGGTGCGCTTCCTGAAGTAGCTTGCGCTAATGGCTCATCGTTAAATCCTTCAAATTCTTCATCGCTCTGTACTTCATCACTCTCCCCTTCTCCGTCTTCTTCGTTTTCTTCGTCGGTTGAATGCACGACAGCTCTCTACTTCCCATTAGTGCTCGAACTACCAAAATGTCAGGGGTTCATATACAAATTCAACAGTATTGTTGCTATTTCGAATAACTTCTACGTCGTCAACCTCCTCTAAGCCGTAGAAACCCTCGGAATCGTTGAACATATCGGGCAGTTTGGCTTTGCGCCATCGTAGAGAGTCGGCAGTGATACGTTTCTTCGCTTTCGCCTGGGTGGATTTCCCGGTAGGTTGGCGGGCCTTGACCCTTTTTTCCGCTGGCGCGCTTGACGTTTGGCTAGTCGCCTTCCTTTTCTTTGGTCCGTTCATGATGCCGGGAGAACTAAGCCGCGTAGATGGTTGTTATTAATTGCTTGTTGTTGTGGTTGTTGTTGTTGTTGTTGTTGTTGTTGCTGTTGCTGTTAGAGAAATGCTGGAAATTTTTGGGACCCTTGTCGAAGTGCTTATCAAAGTTATCTTATCGATCATTTTTCTAAATACGAAGTAGCTGATAAGAGATTGGCGCATTGGCCACACCTTAATTCAGCCCTACGAATAACTCTAACTGCCCCCCAATTCTTGCTACAAAATATTGTACTTAAGTAGATCCAATACAGTTGTGCATAATTCACTTGGATCTAACAGAAGGCTCACCCAGTTCAATAATCCACAATGGGGAAGTCTTCTAAGGATAAACGTGATGCATATTACAGGCTCGCTAAAGAGCAAGGGTGGCGAGCGAGGAGTGCTTTCAAGCTCTTACAGCTTGACGAAGGTTAACCCCTCCCCCTTAACCGAGAGGAAATTATTGACAAGGATACTAATTGAGGAATAGAATTTGATCTATTCGCCAATGTCACTCGAGTTGTGGACTTATGCGCTGCACCTGGGAGTTGGTCGCAAGTCCTATCTAGGGTTTTAATTAAGGGAGAGAAATTCGGTCGAGCAGCTTGGCAAGATCGTGATGCTGGATTCCGTCAGCAGATGTTGGGACTCTTCGGGTCTCTGCCCACAACAAACAAATCGGAACCCTTAAGCTCACAGCAACCATCCGTGGTTACGAACCCTCGTGAAGATGTCAAGATTGTCTCAATCGATTTGCAGCCTATTAGCCCATTACCAGGGATTGTCACGCTACGAGCTGATATTACTCACCCGGCTACTGTTCCATTGCTTCTAAAAGCGTTGGACCCCGAATACGACTCGAAAACTAAGAGCCAGCAGGCCGCCCATCCGGTTGACCTAGTACTTAGTGATGGTGCCCCCGACGTAACCGGGTTGCACGACCTAGATATCTATGTGCAATCACAGCTTCTCTTTGCAGCGTTAAACCTAGCACTATGCGTCTTGAAGCCCGGCGGGAAGTTCGTGGCAAAGATATTCAGAGGCAAGAACGTGGACGTACTCTACGCACAACTCAAAATATTTTTCGAAAAAGTCCATGTTGCGAAGCCGAGATCCTCGAGGGCTAGTAGTGTGGAAGCGTTCATCGTGTGCTTAAATTTCCAACCTCCTAAAGGATTCACAGCGAGCCTCGAGGAGCCACTTGGCGTTGGATTCCGTCTATCGAAAATGACGGAGCAGAACTCCGCGGTATTACCCGTTACCACAAAGACTATTCTACAAAACCCAGAAACGGGGGCATGGAATAATACACCAGCATTTGTTTCGGCAATAGATAAGGACGGTATCGCCGAAATTCAACTAGAAGATCACCGTCCGAAATATGAAGGAGATGTCAGATGGATTGCACCTTTCATTGCTTGTGGCGACTTATCTGCATTTGATTCTGATGCTTCGTATCGCCTCCCACCAGACCATGTCTCCCTAGACCCAATTCAACCACCAACCGCACCGCCGTATAAACGTGCTCTAGAAATGAGAAAGGCATTCGGGGGTGCCTACGGAAAGACAAGCAAGGAATGAATAGATAATATCTTGAGCTATGCTAGGCATGCTTCGGATGCTGAGCTGCAGGTCCCTCAATCAACCCGATAGAAATGCCTTTCGTGTCACACTCGCTCCAGTCCTTAGCGCCGAGGTATTTGCGATATAGATCCATCGTATCGCTAGTCAAGAACATAAATCGCCGTAGATGAGTCCAGCTTTGGATGACTTCGTTGAGGCACTCCATCATCCAACGGCCGAGGCCTTTCCCCTGATAATCGGGCAAGATGTATACATCAGTGAGATATGCGAATGTGACATCGTCGGTCACCACTCTCACAAGCCCAACCTGTTTGGGACTGCTTTGGCCTGTAAGGTGTATAAGCTGAGGCTCTACGGATCGTAGACTGAAAAAGAACTTACCAGCCATCTCGGAAGTGGATTTGGGAAGCACGTATAGTCCGAAACACAAAGAATTATGGAGTGCTTTTTTGACCATGTCTCGTGGCAGCCCCTGTGCCCACCACATCAGATCTGAGCTCAGGACTTCGTTTACTGCATCAACTTGAACGAGCAGCGGTTCGGTTGAGACTAGAAACTCATCTCTATACCAATTACGAGGTTCTGTTTCGAGGACCATTGCGATGATTCCGGATTCAAACGGTCTACCTATCCGCTTAATTTTATAATAAGAACTAGGCAATATGATTCTTGACAGCGGTCTTGGGCCAAGTTTGAATTAGTCACAGACTAAATTCCAAGGCCGGAACCGCGATATATGAATCATATTAAACCTAGTGCCCCTCCCCCACGTGATAATTAACATAGACTATATCTAAGAAGCAGCAATAAATTTAACCAATAACAAGTAGCCATAGAGGAATCCCAGCATCAATTATAAACTCCTATCTTTACATAAGGTAATCCGCAACAGTCATGCTTGTAGGTAGTTCTTACAACAAATGAACTATAAATAATATCAACCTATCAGAGTAATAAAACCAAAGACTAACATCAATTATTATACCCCCACTGCTCCGGCGTGTTTGGGTTTCGCCTGTGAGTTAAAACCTTGCCAAGCGATCTCTTTTGAATTCAACCCCCAAGCCGTCGGACTATCATCGTGGACTGTTGTTCGCCTCATGTCACGCTTGAATTTGCCTTCAAAGGTACCACTGCCTGCTCGGTGCAACACGCATCGGTTGTCCCAAATAACTAAATCACTAAGGTTGTCCCACTGCACGGTGGTGGTATACTTCTTCTGTGTGGCGTGCTGGTTGAGTCGTTGGACCAGGTCCCAGGAGTTCGGGATCTCCTTGCCATTCTCCTCAATATGGTGCAAATGGGCACCGACGAATAAATTCATTCGCCCGCTAGGTTCATGAAGTTGTGCGATTCGATGGCGTTGCATTGGCGATTTTGTCGGGTCGACGTCCTCGAAGAAGGCAGGCGAACCCAGTTTTCGAGAATGCGCCATTGAATGCGCACCTACATAATCGTGTGAAAGGAGCTCCCCTCGTAGATCTTCGGGAAGTTCCTCAAAGGCAGTTCGTGAGTCGGCAAAGTCCGTGTTGCCGCCGTGTCCCGGGGGTGGGAGCTCACAGGCGCGTAGGAGAGAGAACGATGCTCGCCGTGGGTTGAACGTCGAGTCCGCATGGAAGAGCCCATTACCCCTGTTGGAGTGTGCCCGTGCACTCTCCGGATCGAGGATTCCACCAGTCTCGGCATCTATGTTCCCAGCGTCGAACAGTTCGTAAAGCTCGTATCGGGGTTTCCGCCCTCCCATAAGATACCGGCGGATGTTATCAAGCTCCCCGAAGCGTTCGGAGAATTTGACGTGGGCTATGTCATCTAAACCCGTGTTCCGGAAGACGCACACACCGTACTGGCCGCAGATTTTAGTTATAGGTCTGTTAACCAAAGTCTATGTATAACCGTGTTAGACAAGTATCCTATTTACCTTAGCCATGGCAGCAATTATCTCTCTAAACTGCTCGTCAGATAGATCTTGGAAGTTAACGCCACTGACTTCAGCACCGAACGTAGGATGCAGCTCCTTGACCGTGATGGTCTTGAAGGATGACTCTTGGATAAGCCCAGGCATGTTGTCGTTGTCGTTAGTTTTGCTGTTCGTGATTAGATAGTTGATATCACATCCGCAGTCCTAAGACCCTAAGTCCAAAGACGGAGCAGAATGTGCAACATCACGACAGGAAGTGTTGAAACTTAAATAAGCCAATGGTAGTCCCCAATCGAATCAAATACCTGCCGAAGGTAGGTCACAACCGCGAGCAAGGAATCGTGCGGGGTATGCGACTGGCGGCAGAATCGCGCAGTCTTATGACAGCAATATTTAAACCCAACTCCTTAGATACACGTATTTAAATCCCAAAAGAATGATTTAAATAGTAGATCACCATCGGGTTGAGCGTTAGTCTAGAGCTAGGTGATGACTTCAAGATGTAAATCGCGTCAAAATACTGACTTATACGAACTACTATATTCTACATTAGGTAGGTAGTTACCAACATGAAATCAATATTGCCACAATATGGCTTTAGTTTCTTCAACTATTTCGGTGTTATAAACTCTACTGTATGTAATCTGTCAGTTAACTTGATATGCACAAGTTTCCTCCTTGGAGATGATGTTGGGTAGTCTAAATCCAGTTAAGCCAATATCAACAACCCCGGGCTTATAGCTACTGCTTCCACAATAAAGCTTGAATGAATCGTTCAGGTACTCTAGCTAGCACGAAGAGAGAAATATCTCAATAGCGATAAACCCCACCTAATTACTCCTCTACCAAACCTTTCTATTTTTACTTTGGCTTATTTGGTCCGCATTTCGGCAGCTTGCGGCCGACCCTTAATTGACTGCGGACCAGAAAACCGGCCTTCCCAGTATCATCTCCGTGGCGGGATCTGCCCACGCGCCTAAAAGAAGGATCAACGGGGCGAAACATGTTTTTTTGTGCCACACGAGGCTTTCTGTCCTTGATTGAAAACATGACAAATAATCGATTGGTTACCTAATCTATCCAATAATTAGGAGGTGGCTCCTCTGGATAAGTTACGGCTTAGATGTAAGAAATAGGTTTTATGTTCCCTTTCACCAAACACCGGTAGATGGAGTTTCGTAAGAAAATACTAGATGCGAGGATTTGGTTCGCTAGCAATAGCTCATAGTCGCAATCTTACATAAGATTAGAAGTATGGTTTTGTTATACGTTACGTGCCTGTTAAATAACAATGGGATGTTGATTATCTTCATATTATATCCAAAAATCATACGCCCTTTTCCATCCTGAAATCCGTGAATGTACCCGAGCAATCATATTAGGTATTACTCTGTTTTATGATATGTATAGCCCGATTGGATACTGCTGTTGGGATTTCTTGAGCTCATCTCAGCTTCGGGGATAACACTTCATCACTATGAGTCAGATTGTTGTTGCAGCCCTAAGTCTGACCTCCGAACTTATTCACAGCGAGGCTGAAAATGATATTATAAAAGGCTACTGCTCATAGCTAGCCCTGTTAAAAGGATTGTGACCAGTAATAGAAATCGTCCGCATATACTAAGTAGCAATCTAACCTAGACATCTGTGAAGGAGCCGCATTTTTCTCGTTTTTGGTTTCCGTACCACTGCTCCCATCATCTCCTTTGTACTCGTCGCTGGTACTTACCACATCCGTAGGTTGTGATTCCACACTTGTTACTATCATGGCATGCGTAAGTCCATCATATGTGTGCACGTGTACGTCGCTCCACTGACTGGGCTCGTGATACCTCCGGTGACATTAGAAGGAGTAGCTGTTTTATTAGGCAGAAACCTCCCAGGCCCGTAGAAAATCACGGATTCATCTCCGTCAGAGGGCGTATACCTAAGCGTGCCGTCACAAGGAAAAGCATCTATATACGTGCACACGTCGGCCAATCCTTGTCCAAGGCAACGAGACTCTGATAGATTACATCCATACCGAAGAGAGGTGGATCATGAGGACAGATTTGCAGAAAGCTTTGTTATACTAACAAATGGTTTCAGTATATTTATACTTGTTAAGTAATTTTGTGTAAAACGTATTTGACTTGTTAGAGTAGAAGGAAATTACAGTTTTTATGCCGACAGCATACCACTTGGAGAATAGTAGGTGTATACTGGATGGAAAGCCTCGAGTTCCTTATCGAAACTCAGTTGATCGACGATTCTTGCACCGTTAGCCAACTTGCTTGGTTTCAGCAATATCCGCCAGCGCAGTCTATCTGATTCCGCAGCTGATACTGTCGACTAATTTAGTGCGAGAGTGAACATAAATGAAGATAGTAATGAATTAAACATGTCTCTACGTCCAGATCTTAAATGATGGTATTTTAACGATCGCTACATAACACAGAAGATAACACAGAAGAGGTAATGAAAACATTGTCCTGATTCTTCTCTTATCTAGGGAGAGGCCCCTTTCTGCTTATTACGCCTCGATTCCCAGCCTTAAACCCGCCATCTGTCCAATCTAGTGCAGCTAAAGGAAGAGTTGTATTGATCCTGGCCGCCGAGCCTCATAGTCTATTCGTAGCCTACTCACCCATTGCCAATCACATTCCCCAGTCGCCTTATTACACTGTCCAGTGAATTTTATAAAACATTACGTGGGAATAAGTGGGAATTTGATCCGCTCGACCACTCAGTGTACCAAAAAAATGCCTAAGGATGCCTTGCCCAGGCACTAAATCACTGTGTAGACGGCATTTTTTTAACGGCTCAAGCCCTAGGTGCCATAGTATGTACCTACCTATCTAAGTAAATAGAAGCCGAGGCCAGTGATTCTTTAACTCCCCTGTGAATTTCAAACTATAATTTCATTCCTTATATCATTTCGGGAATATTTTCCGATTATTTATCACCCCCTCCCAACCCGTTCTTGGCGTCATTAATGAAGCAACGCTCAGCTCAGCCTTTCAATGTGCAATATATATCTAGGTAAGAATCAAGTTCCATATTTTTTATCGCCACAAGTTAATGTCTTAAGCTGAGTTTCATCTACTTCTCTTTTATATTGGCCGTGAGATCAGTCGTGCCATATCGGCATCTCGGGCGGCTGGATCACTCTCTCTACATTTCTTGTTTCAATTTACTAAATACGCAGTGTCTAAGCTGAATCCATCGAGAGTTGGCCTAGTTAAAGTATGGTACACAGCCTCAAGAGGCACAGTTTTAGAGTAGACAGTCAAAGAAGTCAGGTGACTTGGTATTCCCGAGTCAGGGGTTCGGGCTCGGGTTCCCCTATTTAGTAGGCGCTGCGAGTCCGACCCACTGAAGTCCGGCATTTCCATCCGAGCAATTCGATATCCGGAGGCCGACGGTGCAATACTCCACGGACTCGGCAAAACATAGAACTTCGTGGGTTTTGGCTTTAACTCAAAGGACGTAGTGTAAGCGTGCTCGAATAGGTGGGTAGTACAGAAGCCATAGGAATATATATTAGTCTGCGCTACACGAATTTATGGTTGCATTGGGCGGGACCTTTGACCTGTCAAAAGCCACAACCAAGGTCGGGATGCAGCCAAGCTGCAGGTCGCGAGATACGTATTTCTGTCTTGGCCACACAAGCGCATAAACCCACATGATTCCTTTTTAACACTTTCCTGAAGTACCCAAGTTAATATCAGTTACGTATACCTCTTTAGTGCATCTCAGGCTTCCCCGGTCGTTCGTAAATGAAGTTTGATGATCCCGGATGTTCCCGTGGGGCAGAGTAACAAGAGCAATATATAACTAAATAGGTACTTAACACGACTTTTTATTCCCCGTACAATATACGAAGGTCCAAACCCGGTGCGCCGACAAGATGGCTTACAACCAAGTACATACCACTATAAGGGTTTAGTAAGCTACGCCTTAATAACTAGGTAGAGACCAAAAATAGAAACTAAGATGCGATCAGAAAATGGTAGGGAGCTTGCACACTTAAAATATAGGTTAGGTAGGTACTTTTTAGGTCTTATATCCCAATCAATGTTTCGTACACAAATATGTGGTATTCTAAATAGACGGGAGCCAGACAAGTAAAAAAGGCTATGCAAGATTCATATTATCCTAAGCAGGATCCAAAGGAGGTAAAAGGTCAGATGTGGTGTGTACGTCCTCAATGTGTAGATACTCTATCTAGACATCCCACATTACGACATGTTCCCGTATGGAAGCGGCTCAGCCGCCAGTAGGGCTAGCAGGTATGTAACGTCAGCCCTAAGGAAGATGCGGTAGCATTGCATATCAAGCCTTTTTCGGACCACCCGGCTCAATTTAGTTTAAGCATCGCTTCCTAGATCTTCATTCGTTATGATGCATGCGGCTAAGTGCCGGTTGGGTATCGAATGCCGGATGGCATGCATTACGGCAACCGATATTAAGGATTCACCATTTCCATCCCGACTACATCCAGATCTAAGCAGTAGATGGGAATTAGCAAGTAACTTTCCATATAGGGACATCATTTCACGATACTCACGTGCAATGAGCGGAAATGGCGATGGCACAGATTGAGTCAATTTTATTAACGTGGTATTCCCACTATGACCTCGACCCCCAACTACACACCAGATCCATTTGGCGAGCTAATAGGCACATGTACGATCATCGTGAGAGGGGGGGAGAGATGCCGAGCTGAGGCGGTCGATTACTCCGTATATAGAAATAGAGGCACGTACAAAGGTGAGAATGCACATTGAGGATGGGAGAGGCGAGGTGTGCCATTCTATATAAACATAGGATAAGGTCAAACGTGAGCTCAAGAGAAGAATCGATGTGCCCATCAACAACAGCTTCTCATCGACAAACATTAAGAAAAGACTCAACCAACCCTGAAAAATGACTTTCGGAGACTCAGGTGCAGCATCAAGTAAGCTCAAAGAGAATAAAGGCGAATGGAATAGAGAACAAAATACTAACCATATTGAAGACAAAAATGGCCAATCCAAGAAACCCCCCAAGAGTGATAAGAAGAAGTCAAATGTATGTATCAGTCTAATATAAGCACTATTCAGGGACTAACGAAAATCAGGACCCAAACAAGGACAAATCCGAAAATCAGGGTGGCTCATCAGGTCAGGGGGGTGGCTCAGGGGCATATGTGTCACCGCCAGACTTCTTCTCCTTTAATGACCCCGGAAACGGCAAATGATGATTTGAAAACCATGACTTAAATGGTCGGCTATGGTCTGGGAGATGGGACAGGATAGGGAATAGAAGACAGGATGGCCGGACATTAATTTCTTGAAATCTGTTCTAGACGAACGTTGAATAACTTCATCCATTCAATATAGACTAACTGCAACAAAACCTATCAAAACTTTCTGTGAGTACGATACGCAAGATGACCTGTGTTGCCTATGAAATAGGGATTGTGTACGATATTTACAAGCAAAGCATCGCTTCATGGTGGCTTATGACGATACTAAGTAATCTTTACTTGGGGGCACTAGGCATTAGAAAGCTGCAAATGATCCATTAATAGCCAAGCTAGAGTATAAGAATCAAGTAACACACCAAAATATAGGAGCCGTAGCATATAATAAGGTTAGCAAGCGGCTCGATCTCTTACTCCCGTACCAAAGCCTATATCCCCATTGAGGGACTTAACCCTTAGGATTATATATGATATGGATGTAAGTCATATATAAATAGATGGGATTCAGTAGGTAGATATTCAAAGGAGTGAGGATAGATTATTCGTCTCGGTATATTTCGAAAAGGCTTTTCCAGGTATAATTTATCTTACTCCTCCTATTCGTGTTGATATTACTTGAAAGCTAACTTTCTACTGATATATAATATTCAACTTAGCTATACTAACAGATTGTAGTTATTTAATACGACCCCATAACTAGGAGTTCATAGCAAATATTTGGTGATTTCTAGACTTAACTAGGGACTTCTAGACTCTACAGTACGAAGAGACGGGGTCTGAAAATCCATATAGACTGTAAATATAGAAAAATTGGTCAGGCGCTTATACAAAGTCAGGCATTTATTTCATTTCCGTTCAATAGCATAGAAGAGCCATTTATATGGCTTCTTATTGTGATGCTAGAGTTTCTGACACCGCCAATCTTAAGTAAAGCAATAACATGTAATTTCATGCAGACTAACCTACGAGAGTACTAAGTAACTGGATATGGTTTTATAGAAGAATTGACTTTCATATAATATGTGCCCGATTAGCCTATTATAGTATCAATCAAACAATCAAGACTACCTAGGTACCTACATATGTAATCTTCATTCTCATCAATGCTTAGACACTACTTCTTTCATGCCCCTCTGAACTCTAATAATCCCATCGTTCAGCTTAGACAGCAACTAAAGGTAGAAATAACTAGGTTAGATTCTATAACCATCCATACGTATATTAGCAGATCACCCGATTAATTAAAAAACAATATCATAGCATGGAAACGTGTTCGCAACTCATCCGATGGGAGATAAGTTAGGTAGACAGAAAGTCTCAGAAATACGCGTCATAAAGGGGGTTAGGGGAGGAAAAGGCACCAGCGCAAAAGAAAAGTATGAGACGGGATTTGCAACGTGTCCATGCAAGACTTGGGGTTTGTTAAATAGCCCAGCACGGCCTCATATGATTTCATTGTCATACATTGTATTAGATACTAGATTTTGTCCCAAGTTTGCCCAAAAGAATTCCGAGGATACCTAGGTACCTTATCAAGTCAGTCGCATCAATTGTAAGTCAACTCCAATACATGAATACTACTATATCCACCCCAACGTGGCTCGAGCTTGAATAAAGTTATGAATTATGCGGTTGCAAACGGCCTACCTAGGTACCTATGTAGTAACATAGCAGTTAGCTTAGTGATTCGCAGGCTAATAATAGTGGCAGAACTTCTACCTAGATAGGTACCTACATAGTAGTTGACAGGTCCGCTATTCAGCACCCCGAAACCCGACTCGGCTTAGCTCCCCCGCAAGCCCCGCGCGACTAAATAAGGCACCAACGCTTATCTGCCCCTTCAAGAGCAAGAAGCGGCGTGGTGCAGGTGATTACTCTGTGCTGCTTGTGACGTCTGGCGGGGTCATTTGCCGTGATCTCTCTCAACCGTCATTTATCGGCCTTAGTTACTCTAGCTTAAACTTACTCGCATTTAACATTTACATCTACATTTGCATTCACATACATGCCTCAAGGTAGCATTTAATTTCCCATTCCAGGTTCTGAGTCCCAGGTTAGGTAGGTAAACGCACATCGCCAGACGTTTGCGAATACCTACATAATCTCACCCACCTCCCCTACCTCCCCGGGCATCTCTCTCCAAGACGTCTTTGGAGACATTCCGGTTCTTTCTTTGTCCTCGCCCTTTCTTTGCGACATTACTTAGATCTACATATCTTCTAGTCAGACTGATTGTCCTTACCTGATACGATCCCGATTACAACTCACCTCCTCTTGGTATCACTTCGGACAAATCCCTCGTAGTCTTAGGTTAAACGGCCAAAAAGGGACGAATACAAGAAATCGGTGACTTATCATATCTTATTCATTTGTGTGAAGGCTCTATCACCATGTTCGATCTCATCCCGAAATTTTTTTCGTATGTCCGACGGTTCCCAAGTCCCTTGTCTGGAGTTTGAATGACGTTGCTAACTCTTGATGCCTAACCCAACAATAGCTCTATAGCATCCTTCCTCTTTCCCCTCTTCGCCTCTTACAAAGCGCTCAAAACCTCCGATCCTACACAGCTGACACCATGGCTGATGTACTGGTCCGTCCTGTCTTGCGCCCTCCTCGTTGAGTCCTGGCTCGAGTTTATCCTCTGGTGGATCCCCTTCTACTCGTACATGCGCCTCTTCTTCCTGCTCTACCTCGTCCTTCCCCAGACCCAGGGCGCCCGCGTGCTCTACGAGGCGTATCTCCACCCATATCTTGAAGAGAATGAGGCGGCTATCGAAGAGTTTATTGCTAGCTCTCACGATAAGCTAAAAGCAGCGGGTATAGCCTATCTGAAGCGCGCTATCGACTTGCTCCGCACCCAAATCCTAGGAATGCCACCGCAAGAGGTGGAACCGGAAGAAACAAGAGCCTCTGCAGCTCCACAGGGATACACGCAGGCGTTGCTTGCTAGGTTCAGCGTGCCAGCCGCACGGTGGGCTGCCAATAACACTGGCACCACGGGGCAGGATTTCTTCCACCTACTAGCCAACGCGGTCGGCACTGCTGCCGGTTCTAGAACTCCTGGAGGAACAACAGTACCGGCCAGGGCCGATACACTGTCTGCCGCCAGCCTAATCCCAGGGAACTTTGGCGGCGCGGAGGAGAAAATGACCTTCATCACCGCGCAGAGGGAGAGGCTAGCACTCATGATGGGCGCGCTGGACAAGGAGGCCAAGCAGCTACAGATGTCCGAGGAGGAGCGCAAGAGGGCCGAGCAGGCGGGGAGAGTAGGTAGCATGAGCCTAGACGGCGGCCAGGAAGGAATTTCACGGCCACCTAGTGGCCACAGTGTGTGGAGTGGGTTGAGTAAAAGCCGGAGTGAAGTCGACTTCGAGAAGATCGATGCCGAGAGCGGCGCCGAGGACGATAACAACCTACGTAGAAGAGCTCATATGGGTGAAGAAAACCCGGCTGCTGGAAGAAGCGGCTGGAGCTTCCTAGGCTGGGGCACCGTTGGTACTGGAGAGGAGACCAACCAACCGGACACCGGGCACAGCTCTGGAGTCCAAAAGTAGGTAAAGCTACACCTACGATATCATATTTAATCGCACGGAGTTATTGGTTGGGTTTCGGACTGGATCGTACATCAAGAAGGACGGGTAGACGCGGTTGAACCAGGACTTAGAGCGTAGGATTCCACTCCTATCCGGAGCGTAGGCTTTGGAGCTAAGAGCCGCATGATCTTGTACGTACGGCTTTTATCATTATATTCGTTGCCAACCGTCTATCATTGAGAGTCTTAATTTACGTAACATTGTAGAGCCACATATGAATGTAGTAGCTCAGGGCAAGAGATGCGTAGCAAGCTTTCCTGCCCGTGTCTGGAGTGTAGAGTTCTTCGGGGTATATTTCCCACCTCGTGATATCGTACAGCGTTTCCATCAAACAGAACTTAACCCTAACGTTACCCATCGTCTTATATCAGAATACGCCATGGGAAACTATTAACTACGACGTCTTCTTGAAAGGATAGCGGATCTCGTCATCCTTGCGCAACCAGATCTGCTTCCTCTTCTTGGTGGTGACGTGCTCAACCCAAACTTGCATAGCATGCTCCTTCATGAACTTGCGGATGTAACGCGGGTCCCACAGCTCTGACGCAATGCCTAGGTCCTTGCAGCACCGCATCAGCGCGTTAGACTTGCACCCCTCAGCCGCCGTCGAGATGCCTTCTTCGCTGAAGTACGACATCTCGCCTCGGGCCTGGGCTACGAATCTATTCGGCAGTTAGATATATCGTTCGAAGTTTCGTAAATACACAAGATATGGCTTATCTGTCTATCTGTCCTCCAAGGGTTCCTCAACCAGGAAAGATAGAAAACTTAAGCGGGAGGAAGGAAGAAAAAAAAAAACCTCACCGTCCGTGCACAACAAGCGCATAGTCGCGCGTAACTAGTCTCTCGTGGACCATGAGCTGTCCCCGAGGCGCCAGACCCCAGCCGCCGGGTCCAAACGCGGTGTTTAGGATCCGCCTGTACTTGATCTCGGGAAGGTAGATGATGCCGTCGGGCTTGACCTCGATGTCTTCGGGGTTGAGGCGCGCCTGCAAAACCGTCGCGGTCTCGGGCGAGAACGCCGAGGTCCCGAGGCCGTGGTACGACTGCGTCCAATCGATTGGCTCGCCGGAGTTGGGTTCCTCGCTGCTCGGTGCGTCGGGGAGGGGCACGCCTGAGACGGCGGGGACGGGGGTTCGTGTCCCTGATGGGGCTGCGGGTGTAGCTTCGGCGGGACTGGAGGCGGCCGAGGGAGCGGCAGGTATCGAGCTGGGCTTTGCCGTCGCTGTAGTGGAGGCGGGGGCCTTGGTGTAGGGGGTAAATGCCGCCTTTGGTTTTGAGATACTAACGAGAGTCCGGATCGAGGGTTGGATTTGTGATTGGGGAATTGAGATTGTGCGTGCGCGTCGAGCGGCGGCGCGTATAGGTGTTAACGTTCTTGAGGCCATTGTTGTCTGAAGGTGGGGGTTGGGGGTTGTGGTTTGTGGTTTGTGGTTGTAGATTGTGCAAGAGGTTGCCTCCCAAGGTTAGAAAAGTCGAAGAGGGAGGAAGATAAGGCGTTGTAAAAATTTGGGCGCTGCGATATGGATGGACCTGCCCGTGTATCGGCACGGAGTAGCAAAGTGGGTTTCTTCCGGTTTCTTCACCTAAATTAAGATAACAAACAAACGAACAGCTTATCGATAGCCAATTAATCTTAATACATAGCGCCTTTGGCCTAGGTACAGCCTACGACCTACGACCTGGCGAAACAGCGCAACCAGCGTTATAATTCCTACCTGGTCTCTGGTCTCTGGTTTCTGGTCTCTAGTATAATACAACATCAACTAGACGTATGACTCTAAGAGCGGGATTGGTGTAATATTAATACCTCAAACTCTCTGTCCTCCACCCCCCGTATTCTTACAAATAGTGATTGTTCCCTCTCGATTTAGACGGTATCTCAGTAAACTTGACTTGAGCAGTCATGCATCCTTCATCGACGTCCTCTGATCGTTATTATGTTTCTTCCAGCAAGCCTTGAAAATCTCCATCTGTCATTGGTGAAATCCGTCAGCAAATTACTGTGAAAAGCAAGCTTCTTAGGGATTATCTCTCGATTATTTACGCACCTCCTTTTTACAAGCTCGCCAATCCTTCTTTTCATAGTAGCAGTCGGTCAACTTGGCATTCTCATCTAACTTGGTCAGTATTTTTGACATATAGATACCGATTTATTCCTAAGCTTATTTACCTGCACATCCCGTACTAAATATCCTCTTATCCCTAGAGCATCAGACGAGAAAACGGAGTTAGTCTATGAAGACTGACAATTATGAACAGCTGATTTCAACAATTCTTACCACTCATCTGGCTCGTCATCATCTTGAGCAGCAGTGGTCTGCTGGCTTGTGCTTTCGTCCTTGGACATTATTTGCAACACTTTATTCCGTATGGAGCGAATCTAAGACGGTTCTTAAAATATATCTTACAGTTGCTAAGTCGCGCGGTTCGGTGTTGCGAATTAAAGAACCAAATTACGCTAGAGAGCGGTATTAGAGGGCGGTATAAAGGCAGAAATTCGGGGGGATCCGAACCGGTCTCATTAAATCTCGTTAACAAATCCCCGTACTACTTACTTCAACCTACCATCTCGGGCTGAAGACGATTTCCCTCACTATGACGTCGCGAAAACTAAATGTGCTCGTCTACACGGGTACAGGGTCGACAGTTGAATCGGTTAAGCATGCAATCTACTCCCTGCGTCGACTTCTCTCCCCGAACTATGCAGTCATCCCTATCACCGAGACTGTTCTACTAAAAGAGCCATGGGCACCTTCTTGTGCGCTGCTTGTTTTTCCAGGCGGTGCTGATCTTGGTTACTGCCGTGTGCTCAATGGGGAAGGCAATTCAATTATATCTCAATATGTGCGTCGAGGTGGTGCATACTTGGGTTTCTGCGCCGGTGGATACTATGGATCTAAGAGGTGCGAGTTCGAGGTTGGCAACAAGGCTATGGAAGTTGTCGGATCTAGAGAGCTAGCTTTTTTCCCTAGCACGTGTAGGGGTGGTGCGTTCAAAGGTTTCCAGTATCACAGCGAGAAAGGGGCCCGAGCAGTCCGAGTGAATGTTGTAAAGGATGCATTCAGGGGTGCAGGTTTAGTCCCAGAGGTATTCACATCCTACTACAATGGCGGTGGCGTCTTCGTCATCCCAGCAAATGGAAACAGTGATATTGAGATACTAGCAAGCTATGCGGACGAGCTCAATGTCGATGGTGGTCGTGAAAAGGCAGCTTTGGTGTACTGCAAAGTCGGCCAAGGTGCTGCTATCCTTACAGGACCTCACCCTGAATTTGCTGCGGTAAATCTAAGTCCACAGAACGATGTTGAGGGATATGACGACCTCATCGCTACCCTCATAGCTGATGACGATGCACGAACAGGCTTCCTAAAGGCGTGCTTAACCAAGCTTGGTCTAGAGGTCAGCCAGGAAACAACAGGTGTGCCATCCCTCTCTCGACTTCATTTGTCGTCCATCTCTAGTAACGACGTGGACGACTTATTGCACACCTGGGAAGATATCATCAGCAAAGAAGATGGCGAAGAGTATATAAGAGCAGAAAACGACATATTTCATTTACAGAAGCCCGAAACCATGTGGTCCGTCACTGGCTTGAAAGAGGCACTAACTCCTGATGGTAGCCAGGATCAAAAGTCTCCTGAGTTAAGTAGTCAAGGCATAATCGACTATAGCACAATCATTAAGCGTATTGTAACTCACGAAACAGCCTGGCCAGAAGCCAAGGCAACTCCATATTTCAACCACAACGCATTCTATTCTAGCTTACAAGAGTATCGGCGGACAGAACCTGAGGCGGAAGAATGGGGCGACTTCCTGATGTACGGAGAAGTTGTCACAAGCACCAATACACTGCTTGAAAAAAACTTCAAGTTGCTTTCCAAACTACCGTCGGGGTTTACACTTACAGCAACAACTCAGGTTGCTGGGCGGGGACGCGGGAACAATGTCTGGGTATCTCCCGCTGGGTCACTAATAATGTCCACCGTCATCAACCATCCAGCTCACATTGCTCCAAGCCGACCCATCGTCTTCATCCAGTATCTAGCCGCTATTGCTATAGTCGAGGCTGTAAAGAACTATGATCGAGGATACGAAAAGGTCCCCGTGAAACTAAAATGGCCCAATGATATCTATGCGCGAGATCCGAGGCAGCCTTCTTCATCCCCTCCTTCTTACGTCAAAATCGGTGGCATCTTATCTAACTGCAACTATTCGGCGGGAGCTTACCAAATTGTCCTTGGAATCGGAATTAATGCCACCAACGGACGTCCCACCACCTCCCTTGACGCCTTGCTGCCATCACACCTCGCCCCTTTCCGAATCGAAAAACTCATGGCGGGAATCATTGCCCGGCTAGAAGCTCTGTACAAGACGTTCGTGAGGAGAGGTTTCACGAGAGATATGGAGAATGCATACTATGCACACTGGCTACACGGACGGCAGATTGTCAACCTCGAGGCTCAGGGTGGAGTGAAGGCCCGGATCGTAGGCATTACTAGCGACTGGGGTATGCTAAGGGCGGAAGAGCTAGGAAGTGATGATAGACCGACGGGGAAGATATGGGCATTGCAGAGCGATGAAAATAGCTTTGATTTTTTCAGGGGCTTGGTCAAGAGAAAAATCTAGGTGCTTACTATTAGATCAAGATTTGCATGAGCCTTGTATAGATAGACAGGCCTTTAAGTTACAATAAACCGATCTTAGTGTATAGAGATGAGCGGATCAAGAATGCTCAGATTGTTACATACTGTCAATATTCGCAGTGCAACACAACTTTGAGTTATTTCAATATGTGATCCTTATAGACTCGTCCTAAAGGGACCCGTCCGGCTCCTATGCAACACACAAAGAACCGCTATATCTCGTCGCCCCTTTTTGACATATAATGTACAATAATTACAGTAGTACATGCAGCGTCGTCTCTCGTCTAACTCCGACTAGGAACGAACCGGTCCATGAATGCGTCAAAAGTCCCAAATGATAACGCCAGGCTATGCTACAGTCGAGTGAAGATGCTTTCGTAAATGGTTGTTGCGTATAGTATGTGTCCCATTCCCAACGACACTAAACCCGCCCCGGCCCCCCGGGTCAAACTCCTATTCTTTTTCCACTCCGAATTCACTACCGGTCCTTATACATCTTGGGCTTCCATCCCTCTTTTATCTCCGCTTCTTGCGCAGCTTTCTCCATCGCCGGTCTAACCTCGGATTCTATACGTTCCCTTGCTCTTAAGACTTTGCTCTGTAGGTAGAAGCTTCCTCCCTTCTGCGGATCGTTTGCATCGAAGAGCTTCTTGAATCGCGACATGACCTCTTCCATGTTCGCTTGTCCTCCTTGCGGCGGCTTGACGTTTAGGATCTTGCACGCCTCATCTAGAGTCATGCCACTCGAGAGACTCGCCCGAGCCGACACTCCATTCGGATTCAGCTTAGCCTGCGCTCGAGCATAGTTGGAGGATGCTTGTGCCTGCTTGTAAGCTTCGGCAAAGGCGCGACCGAGTACTCGACTGCCTACTACGACGATCTGGGTTATGATGCGATGCGCCTAGTTATAATTGTTAGCGGCAATTGTCGGTGGCGCAAATGTGGGTTATTTCGGCTTAGAAAAATTCCCTCTATTAACGTACCATGTTTGCAGCTTCGGACCTATAGAAGATAAAATGCTGCAGCAGGATCCCGTATACTAGAGGGGTTCTCAAGGCCGTAGATCGAAGTTTGCGATCGAGGCGATAAGATGCTTCCTATTGATGGTGTTGAAGAAAAGAAAGTCGCCTGAGGCTCGAAAATTGTCGCGATAGCGGAACGATTAGGAACCCACATCGGAGTTGTGAGTCCGGGGCTCCGGAACTTAAAATACCCAGACAGCCAGAGGTCCATAGATACCCCTGCAGTTCCATTCGGATGTCACAGAGATCCGGCATAACGCCACAGTTTCCACCAGCCACAATACAGGGGAAGCTAGAACCTTAGCCCTGGAAGTTACGTAGATGGACTTGATCTAAGCTTTCGCAGCCACGTCGGTGAAGACAGATTCATTTTTGGCGATCCGTCAACTTGAATTCCATCATCGTCTTAACGAACGTTTCGAACACGTCTCACGGCTTCTTATGTCATATCCACTCCAACTGTTTTCTCTCTCTATCAACTCTTTCATCCTTTGTACCTCTTAACCTACACTAACTTCCTTGTTTTCACTTTTTTTCAACGTAAATACCTTTGCCTCTAAACGCACGCAGCTTCGAGCCGATTATCCTCATCCAAGAACTATTTCGAGCGTCGGTCCGCAAAACATGTCGCAATACTACGGCGCACCCCCTCCAAATCAGTTCGGCGGTGCGGCGGCCGCGCAAAACCTTCAGTTCTACCCTTCGTCGTATTCGCCCGGTATACCAGCCCAGGGAACCCCAGCGCAATCATACGGCTATGGCGCGCCAGCACCTAACGCTGGTGGATACGGCTTCGGCGCTGCGCCTGGTGTAAGCGGGAGGATGGGCGAACAAGGTGGCCTGCGGACGGGCTGGCTCGCCGCTTTCTCTACAGAAGGATATGATGGGGAACCGCCGTTGTTAGAAGAGCTAGGAATCAACTTCGACCACATCTGGATGAAGGTGAGCTCCTGAGCGGCTTGCATTCCATTGATTCGACAGTAATACTAACCCCTTTCAGACTTTAGCAGTTCTCAACCCCTTCGGGCGTATAGATCAACACATCATGGACGACTCGGATCTCGGCGGCCCCATCCTCTTCTTCTTCTTATTCGGCACATTCCTACTCTTTAGCGGCAAGGTACATTTCGGGTACATCTACGGATTGGCGCTCATGGGATCGGTTGCGCTACACACAATACTATCACTCATGTCTCACGACGATACCAGTCCCACGACACCTGCCCAAGCTGCATATCCTTCCACCCCTGGTTACCCCGGCGATCCCAACGTGGGCGGTAGAGATGATTCTAAGGGACACTTCAGTGGTACTTTAACATTTGCAAGGAGCGCAAGCGTGCTGGGGTACTGTTTGCTACCGCTAGTCATAACCAGTCTAATAGGCATTGTCATACCAATGGACGGACCGCTTGGCTACATCTTAACCAGTGCGGCAATCGTTTGGTGCACAACAAGTGCGAGTGGTATGTTTTGCGCAGTTGGACGGATGATGCAAATGAGGGCCTTGGTAGCATACCCGTTGATGTTATTCTACGTTGGCTTTGGTATTATGAGCATCTTCAGCAGTCGAGGGTCCGGTAGCTTGGGCAAGGCGGCAGGCGTGTCGTGAAATGGTATTCAGCTCATTAAAGAAACTGAAACTGAAACACTAGACGTCTATCGAGGGTCGAGGATGGCGGATAGAAGATTTAGTCCGCGTTGAACCACAGTAGATGATCATATTCTACCAGCAGACCACGTATTCTATTACTGGTAGCCGATAGCGGCAGTCCTGGGGATGGGGGATGGGGGATGGATGTGAGACAATAAATGAAATAAGTTGATGTTAATGGGAGCAATGTACCCTCCATCTACTCATGTTTACAGCGTTAAACAAATAATATGACAAAACATATACAATTGCTATGATGTTAACTGGGAATTTCTTACCCCTATCTGCGATGAGAAATCTTGAGAAACTTCAAGTCCCTTGAGATCCAACAGCGAAAGTACAAGACTTACCTACCTACCTCTATATGCAACTTACCTATGAAGAGGTCTCAAGGCGTACGACGAAAATCTACCCCATTACAAGCGGAATTTCACGTGTCTAGGCTTTCCCCCTTAGTAAATGATCATCGTATCACTAAAAACCAGGAATTGGGGCACCCTTCGTTACGATTGACCGTTTGATTTAACTAGAATAAGTACTAGAACATATTGGAATACGTTTTGATCAATAAATGTCTTTTGTCGAGCAGCTTCGTCAATAATTACTTTGGTTTATCGTAATCTTCAATGCATGGACATTTACTATGGATCTATCGGATACAGCTACTATGCAAATCCCACTTTATATAGTACCGCCAAACCTATTAGGCCACCCGAGGAGCCGTGTTAAATACCGGGCCTACTCAGAAGACGACATGGCAAGGGCAGAACAAGCCATTGCAGAAGAAGGTCTATCACTCCGCCAAGCCTCTATCAGGTTCAACGTCCCTAAGACTACATTGGCGGAGCGGTTAGGTGATAAACGGCCCAGACCGCCTCCTCGTAAGTCGGACGAGGAGAACAAGCAGCGGACCAGGTACCAATGGACGGAGGCCGATATGGCAAGTGCTGTCGAGGCAGTCCAGAATGGGGACAAGATCGGCGAGGCAGCTAGACGGTTCGGCGTCCCGCCTAGCCATCTAAACGCACGGACACGGGGCAGAGCACCTAAGAACCTCCGCAGCGAACTATCTCGGTTGACCCTCAGGCAAGAAGGTCTTCTCGCCGACTGGGCGACCGCTCAGTCGGCGCTAGGATGCCCGCCGACTAAGAACGAACTGTTCGGTCTTGCGGAACGGGTGCTGAAGAAGCAGGGGTCGGATAAGAAGCTTGGGAAGCAGTGGATCGTACATTGGATGAGAAGGTATCCCCAGATCGAGATTCTGGAATGGGAAGCTAAGGAGCTCAAGGCGAAAAAGAGCCAAAAGACAGATTCTGCTATAGCGTTTTCCGTGGGCTCGTTTGAGCCGGTCGTTGATCTGGATGAGCTTTGCTATGGTGCGTCGGGAACTAACTGATCGTGGCCAGTCGTTGGCTTTAAAGGCCAATGGTCTTTTATGAAGATAGTGCGAAATAATATGTCTAACCTGGGTCTTGCTACAGTTATATTACAGGTATATTACAGGTATATCAAACGCTCGCGGGTAGTCACCTTATATAGGAACAATGACAATGGTGTCACGGTTGTTAGAATATCAGGCATTAAGTAAACACTACCTTTGCCTTGACATGAGCCCGCACGTATACGGTATGCCTTCATCTCAAGTGTAAAGCAGCGAATTCATCGCGCAATGCTCAACTAAGCAAGTACTAAAGGGGCATCCCCCGAAGATTCACGTAGCACAGCTTGGAGGCAGCACGGCCAGATGGGCGGTTGGGTTATCCAGTCTGTCAATGGGAGAGGTTTGGATGTAGTTTAGTTACTTTAAAGCCTATACCCTAGTTGATCCGGCTGTTAAACCAGCATGCAACTAAATACCATGACGTGGAGACGATAGTTAACTATTAATATTAAACTGTTATGTACAACTAGGTATCTAGGTACCTAGTTAAACAATAATAACTCACTTCTGAGAACCTGTTAATAAGTATATCAAGCCCCCTAATCCTAGAACCCTAAGAATTGGAAGCCATCGCCAAACACGACCGGAATGTGGGGTATTTATGTAGCTTCGCCGTTACATAGTACATATCGTGTACATAGGTAGATCAGATTCAATCAATCAAAACCCCTGAACCCCCGAAGCTTGGCATGCGCGGGCCGCTGCAGGCTAATAAATTTAAACTGTTGTACATACCTATGCACACGATCAAAATCTCGTAGGGCTTGACGCCATGTTACGCTTCTCGATTGCTTTGAAGAATGTTTGTAATTACCTCTTAAGATACTACGTAATTTAGTTATAATATGGGATTTTGTATAATTCTATAATATTATAATGTCTTGGTTAGTTAGTTAATAGGTGTATAGTCTTAAGTTGTGTTAAGTCCGATAGTTATGTGTAATATCCGATGCGTATAAGACGTATGGAGCTCCTAGGGGGACGAGACCAACCCCCATAACGTCAACAAAGAATCCGATTAACTAGTTTGATTAATGAGACTCTTTCACTACTAGTGAATGTATAGATCTTTTGTCTCTATTATGATTGGTTAAAGCTGAGTACCATTGCCTACCTTACTTACACAGGTACGTCTTTGCATCTCGGCATACTTTGACAAGGTTGGGGTTAACACTCACACCCACACCTCCCCCCCATTCTTGACCCCATAGTGCACCAATGCCGAATGTAACTGTTATGTACCCTGGTAATTCTCATATGTCACCTTGCTACCGCCTCTCAGTGATTTGGCAATTCTCCAGCAATCAAGTCCAAGCTCTCAACACCAGGTTCCCTGTGTTTCCCCTCTAATACCTACTGGGGTACGTAAGTAGGTACGTGTGCTAAAAGCACCTAGGTACGTTTGTTAATGTTATGTATATATCATGGTATCAGTATAGTCCCAGGGAAACCAACACAAACATAGTTCGTAACTACCCTATTAAACCTCGTAGTGTTGTTGGCCAAGATGCGTACAAAGTCTTATTAATTCTGCGTCACCGAGGTTCCCTACCAAAAGGATCAACTCTTTGACACCCTCCCTTACCCTGCATAGCAACCTACCTACATACGAGGGTATAAATGCTATCTGCGCAGAGACAAAATAAATTACCCCGATAAATAATCCTGCAGCCCCCCATAAGCTTAATCTCAACGCCTTTTTTTTTTCTCTACCCCCCCCCCCCCCTTTCCCGCTGATACATATATTATTTCTCTTTCCTTTCCTCATTGGATAAAAAAAAAGGGAGGCAGAGAAATCACGACGATAGACATGGCGACGTCCGACGGCAACGTTTCCGGCCAGGAAGAGGGAAACACCTCGCAGGAAGAGCGTGTCGAGAAGGATCTACATTCCGCCGCCGAGAAGGGCGTCGCGGCAACCGACAGGTGAGGTGCTACGAGCATTACTAAGTACCCAAGGTTAAGAGAGTACGGGTATGCTTACCAAGTTCTAATTTGTAGTCGCGGTGTGTCTGTCACCGAGTTCGACCGGGAAGCCGAGAGAAGACTCCGTAATAAGATAGATTGCATGATAGTCCCGACGGTGTCTATCTTGTATCTATTTTGCTTCATCGACCGATCGAATATAGGTACCTCACCTACCTATGCGTGCTTTAATTTCTATTTTCGTTAGTTATACTGACAGCTTGCAGGCAATGCAAGACTCGCCGGTCTCGAGGAGGACCTGGGCATGAAGGGCAACGACTACAACATGCTTCTATCCATCTTCTACATCAGCTACTGCCTTTTCGAGATCCCGTCCAATCTGGCGTGCAAGTGGCTCGGTCCCGGCTGGGTTATCCCCATTCTATGTCTCGGCTTCGGCATTTCCTCTCTTGGCATGGCCTTCGTTCGTGATTTGCCGACGGCTTGTGGCGTCCGCTTTCTCCTTGGCGTCTTCGAGGCCGGCATGATGCCCGGAATGTCCTACTATCTTTCCCGGTGGTACCGCCGCTCCGAACTGGTTTTCCGGATCTCTCTTTTTGTTGTCATGGCACCACTTGCTGGCGCATTTGGAGGACTGATCGCTTCTGGGTACGTATTCTGATTAATCACTTACTTTATCGAGGTTTCATACTGCCTATGATGCTTAAGAATCGCCGCTAACTCATGCACAACAGTCTTTTAAGTCTATCCAACATCGGTAGTGTTATCGCTTGGCGTATGATTTTCTTGGTCGAGGGCATCATCACGGTAGGTCTGTCATTGATCTCGTTCGTCACGCTTACCGACCGTCCCGAGACGGCACGCTGGCTCACGGAAGAAGAAAAGACTCTAGCAGTCGCCCGTGTTAAGTCGGAACGTTTGGCCCAAACTGTTGTTCTCGATAAGACGGACCGCAAGAAACTCTGGCTAGGTTTCTGGAACCCTGTTGTCCTATCGACCAGTTTCATCTTCCTACTTAATAAGTATGTATATCCCGTTTCGCTCAATGTTTCCGCGATCACTAACTTGAAAACCACAGCATTACAGTCCAAGGCCTAGCCTTCTTCACGCCTACTATCGTAGCCACTATCTATCCTCATTACACGACGGTCCAGAAGCAGCTATACACCGTTCCACCGTACGTTGTCGGAGCCGCATTCGAACTTGTTATTCCGCTTCTTAGCTGGCGAATGGACAAACGACAGGTCTTCTTAATCCTCACCGCGCCCTTGACAATGATGGGTTACATCATGTTCCTAGCAAGCACCGACCCCAAGGTGAGGTACGCAGCAACCTTTTTCACGGCCGTCAGTTGTTTCGCCGTTGGGGCATTGAGTAATGCGCAGGTAGCGGCACAAGTTGTCAGCGACACGGCGCGCAGCGTAAGCCTCGGGACCAACATGACGTTCGGCGCCCTTGGTGGCCTCATTGCTACTTGGTCGTATCTATCCTGGGACGGACCCGATTACCCTATTGGCAACGGGTTGAACCTTGCTGCCTCCGGCACGTTACTCATTGTAAGTACCGTGACCCTATTTTGGATGAAGGCGGA